CCTAAACTATCTCACCAGCTCATATACAAACATTTGTTATATACTGTTCATTCCATCTTTGAAATCTCTCTCAAATTCAGTCTCTGTTCTACTGTCACTAAAAACCACCTTAGCAGTGGTTAGCATTGTCACCTTCCTGGATTATTGCATTATTATTCTAACATGTCTTATTGCTTCAACTCTGACAGGCAGTGTGGTATAATGAATGGTATATTTCATGCGGGATGCAAAAAATTAAGGTTCAAATCCTGCCTCTGATATTTTGTAGCCCTTCAATCACGGGAAAATAAACTCAGTAGGCTTCAAGTTTTATCATCTGTTAGATGGGCACATCAGTATCTACCTTGAGACCCAAATAAGTAAATGTGTGTAAAAATTTGGGTAAGTTTTAAAATGTTGTATAGTTATGAACTCTAAATGCAGTTTGAAGTGTACTTTTTTAGCTTTTGATTTACTTTGTGTTTTCTTTTGCAACATGGCTAATATGGAAATATGTTTTGATTGATCTTACATGTATAATTCAAATAAAATTGTTTACCTTCTCAAGGGAGGGGGAGGGGTGGGAAGGAGAGCATTTGGAACTCCAAATTTCTTTTAAATGAGTGTTAATTTTTTCTACATGCAATTTCGAAAATTCAACGAAATGAAAAATTTTAAATTAAAATAATGCTATCTAAACACAAGCTAGCATTGATTCTTTCCCTCTCAACTCACTTCGAATCCATCCTTTGTGTGGTTCCCAAAATAATCTTTCCTTATGCACAGACTTGGTCAGGTCATTTTTCTTCTCAAAAAAGAAAATCTTCAGTGACCCTCTACAGCTAACCAAATAAAATTTCAGTTTGGTTCAAAAGATCCTTATTATGCACTTATTGCATGCAAGTTACTCTATTAAGACAAAAATGAAAATCCCTGCACTCCAGATATTTGAATTCTACTGGAGCAAGATGACACAAACTCAAATAAGAAAGCTGAAGCTTATGTAAAGTAATAAAAAATAACTTCAGGGGAAGAGAAAATAAAGATCCAACCTCCCTCTCCCCTTTTAAAGCATGGTAGGCTTTTCATAGTGCTTATATTTTCAGCCTTATATCATAGAAGATGCTTTTCTTATGCTCTAGTAAAACTGGATTATTCTTCATCCTCGTGCATGACCTGTACTTTCCAGCCTTCCTGCTTTTGCTTAATTGTTCCCTATGACTAAGCTATCCTTCCATCTCCTTGTTACTTATTGAATTCCTACCCATACTTTAACAACGCAAATGTCACTTTCTTCATGAAGCCTTCTGGGAGCTCCAATTTGTAATAGCATCTTCTCCTTCCTCCCAATACTCATAAGGACTAGCTCTGTTTGGCCACAGAAATCAGAATTGAAACCAATGGAGAAGGGAAAGGTGGAGAAAAAAATGGAAAGAAGTTGGGAAGAAGGGGCCTTGGCTTAATCCACTGAAAAAATGTATAAGAGATTAGAGCTACTGAAAAGTAGACAAAAGCTCCTCCCTTGGGAACTCATTTTCCTTAAAATATGGACTTGCAAAGAAGCCTGGATGACCATTTTTCAGGGAAATGAACAGAATTATATATCAAGAACTGGAAGGGACCACAGAGTCCACTTCATTTAACCCCTCTTTTTTTAATATAAATTTATTTCTTTTTAGTTTTCAACATTCACTTCCACAAGTTTTTTAGTCCCACCCCTCCCCTCACCCCAAGATGGCATACATTCTGAATATCCCTTCCCCTAATCTGCCTTCTCTTCTATCTCTCCTCCTTCTACTATCCCTTCCCCTTATATGTTCCTGTAGGGCAGGATAGACTTCTGTACTCCATTTCCGGTATTTCTTATTTCCCATAGTATGTGAAAACATTTTTTTAAAACATATCTTTCTAAAACTTTAAGTTTCAAATTTTCTCTCTTCCTCCCTCCCCACCCACCCTCATTGAAAACGCAAGCAACTCAATATAGGTTGTACATGTGCAGTTATGCAAAATACTTCCATAGTAGACATGTTGTGAAAAACTAACTCTATTTCCCTTAATCCGATCCTGCCCCCCCATTTATTCTATTCTTTCTTTTGACACTGTTCCTCCTCAGAAGTATTTACTTCTGATTACCCTCTTTCCCAATCTGCCCTCCTCTCTATCATCCCCCTGCTCTCTTGTCCCCTTCTCCTCCTATTTTCCTGCAGGGTAAGACAGATTTCCATACCCAATTGAATGTGTATGTTATTCCCTCCTTAAGCCAAATCCTATGAGAATAAGATTCACTCATTCCCTCTCACCTTCCCCTGTTTCCCCTCCACTGTAAGAGACTTTTCTGTTTTTTTTGTGAGATAATTTACCCCATTCTACCTCTCCCTTTCTTCTTCTCCTAGTATAATCCTCTCTCACCCCTTAATTTTATTCTCCACATATGACCCCTTAATCTTCAACTCACCCTGTGCCCTCTATCTATCTATCTATCTATCTATCTATCTATCTATCTATCTATCTATCTATCTATCTATCTATGTATCTATACATACTATAATTTTTTTCCTCAACTACCCTAATACTGACAAAGTCTCATGAGTTATAAATATCATCTTTCCATGCAGGAATGTAAACAGTTCAATCTTAATAAGTCTCTTATGATTTCTCTTTCCTGTTTACCTCTTCATGTTCCACTTGAGTCCTGTATTTGAAAGTCAAATTTTCTATTCAGCTCTGGTCTTTTCATCAGGAATGCTTGAAAGTCCTCTATTTCACTGAATGACCATTTTTCCCCTGAAGGATTATACTCAGTTTTGCTGGGTAGGTGATTCTTGGTTGTAATCCTATCTCCTTTGCCCTCCGGAATATTATATTCCATGCCCTCTGGTACCTTAATGTAGAAGCTGCTAAATCTTGTGTTATCCTGATTGTGTTTCCACAGTACTTGAATTGTTTCCTTCTGGCAGCTTGTAATATTTTCTCCTTGACCTGGGAACTCTGGAATTTGGCTATAATATTCCTAGGAGTTTTCCTTTGGGGATCTCTTTCAGGAGGAGATCTGTGGATTCTTTCCATTTCTATTTTGCCCTCTGGTTCTAATATATCAGGGCAGTTTTCCTTGATAATTTCTTGAAAGATGATGTCTAGGCTCTTTTTTTGATCATGGCTTTCAGATAGTCCAATAATTTTTAAATTCTCTCTCCTGGATCTATTTTCCAGGTCAGTTGTTTTTCCAATGAGATATTTCACATTGTTTTCTAATTTTTCATTCTTTTGGATTTGTTTTACAGTGTCTTGATTTCTCATAAAGTCACTATCTTCCAATTGCTCTATCCTAATGTTTAAGGAAGTATTTTCTTCAGTAACTTTTGGACTTCCTTTTCCATTTGGCAATTTTTCTTTTTAGGGCATTTTTCTCCTCATTGGCTTTTTGGACCTCTTTTGCCATTTGGTTAGGCTATTTTTAAGGTGTATTTTCTTCAGTATTTTTTTGGGTGTCCTTTAGCAAGCTGTTGACTTGTTTTTCATAATTTTCTTGCATCACCCTCATTCCTCTTCCCATTTTTTCCATCACTTCTCTTACTTACTTCTCAAGATCCCTTTTGAGCTCTTCCAAGGCCTGGGACTGATTCATATTTTTGTTGGAGGCTTTGGATGTAGGAGCTTTGACTTTGTTGTCTTCTTCTGGTTGTATATTTTGATCTTCTTTTTCACCAAAGTAAGATAATATAGTCTGACTCTTTTTGCACTGCTTGCTCATGATCCTGGCCAATTACTTGAGTTTTAAACTCTTTGTTAAGGTAAGAGTCTACTTCTAATGTGGAGAGTGTACTGTCCCAAGCTTCAGGGGTTTGTATAGCTGTTTTCAGAGATACTTGTAGGGAACTGTAAATTTTCAGTTCTTCCAAGGTGGTATGATAAGGGGCAAGGTGTTTACTCCATTCCTGACCTGTGACCACAAGTACTGCTTTCTATCCTGTACCTGTGAGGAGGGGTTCCTCTGCATAGCCACTATAAGTTCCACCACACCAGCTCTCCTCCTCACCCCGGCACCACCACCCAGAACTGTGACCCAGATCCCAACACAGGGAAAGCAAGAGATTCCTGCCTCAGCACCAGCAAAGAGATCCCTGCAATCCCTCTCTGATCAGCCACTGGATTCCCCCTCAGTCTGTGGGCTGGAAGCTCAGGAAGCAGCTGCCCCCCCCCCCCAGGGCCATGCTCTTGGGGAATGGAGCTGAAACCTCACCTTCCTTTCTCAGCACTGACAGAAACAGACTTTTCCCACTGACCTTCTAAGTTGTCCTTGGCATTGGTGAATACAGGAGTCTGGAAACCTCCACACTGCCCATGATTCAGTCCTCTGAGGCCTGTTCCAGGTTCGCTGTGGCCTGCATGCCCATGCCTCTCTGCACTGCGCTCCCAGCCCGGTGCAATACACCTTTTTGATCAATCATCCAGATTGTCTTGGGCTGGATATTTGTTTCACTCTGTCTTTTTGTGGGTTCTGCTGCTTCAGAATTTGTTTAGAGCCATTTTTTTATGAGTATTTGGAGGGGTTTGGGGGAGAGCTCAAGCAAGTCACTGCTTTCACTCCACCATCTTGGCTCTGCCCCCCATTTAACCCTTCATTTTACAGATAAGTAAACTTAGGCCCAGGAGGGTTGTCTAAGGTTTCACAGATAAACTCAGTGGACTGTTGCCCAAGTGGCACTTGTAAGGTCCTTTACAACTTTTGTACATTGTTCCCTAGGATTGAGAAATACATAGCATATGGAAGGAAGGAAAAAAGGAAGAGAGAGAGAGAGTGAGAGAGAGAGAAACTGACAGAGAGAGATTGAGAGAGAAAAAAATTGAGAGATTGAGAGAGAAATTGAGAGAAAGAGAGAGAGAAAAATTGAGGGAGAAATTGAAAGAGAGAGGGAGAGAGAGAGAGAGAGAGAGAGAGAGAGAGAGAGAGAGAGAGAGAGAGAGAGAGAGAGAATGAATCAGTGCTCTTTTTGACCTAAAAATCTTTCTTCCCACAGATATTTTAGCTTTATCATGTCACTGGGAGATGCTGTTATGTTGATTTCAGGGATCATTTCTCCCTACGTTACTGGATACTTCATCAGTCAGGTAAAGCATCTACACTAAAAAGGATTTGAACTCAGTAGAATTAGCACTGGATGCAGATAAACACAGAGGAGGAAAACGCAATGGATCCAAAGGACTACAGAGTGTGGAGCAGGAAGGAACCTTAGAGATTAGCTATTTTAACTCCTTTATTAACATACGAAGAAAGTGAGGCTCAATGTGTTGAAGTGACCTACACAAGTAATAAGCAACAGAGTACAAACTCAAGGCCCTTCCCACCAGCCATGCTTTGATCTGGGATTTAGGGCAAAGTACACAATTTAGGAGAAAACTCTCAGGGGGAGTCCGAGAAACAGGGAAGGGAAGGGGTCATTCCTTAAGCCAGGACTCCAGGTTACATTTCAGTGAGGAGGGAGAAGAGGAGCCACACAGCCATAGGTCTCTTTACTGGGTCCCTAGGAGAGGACCTTTTGCTGTCAGAGCCCATGTCTCCTTGATACAATCTGTATAGTCACTTCTCACTAGGTGCCAACAGGCTAGGTTCTGTGGCTGTCTTATCCTCTATCTCTTACCTCACATTAAAGGTAGAAGGCTCAAAAATCCTACAGCCTGGCACCCCTCTACTGGGCAACTGGTAGGAAGCAAATCCAGGTGATAGGAGGCCACATGGAGAGGAAAGGATCCAGGCAAGTGGGGAAGGAGTAGGAGAGACCACAGCTAAAAAAAACAAGAGGACCAGGACCCACCACCTTCTCCAGCCTCACCTCCCCCCAGCACTCACACACACTCATACATGCTCAGCTGAAGCAATAGGAGGGGCTGCCGTCTATTTCCAGGAATCCCAAAAGTTCACATTAAAATTCCTCAATAAGAACAATTCATCTTGGTATAATGATGTGTATGAACATGTATTAACCTGCAATGTCATCGACTTAGGCAACTCTCTGAGAGGACACTCCCTGCTCTGCAGCTAGAGTCTCAGAGTTACCTGAGTCACTGAGGACCTAAGTGATTTCACCAGGGTCCCAAACCTTAGTATGAGGCTGAAGAGAGACTTGAACAGAAGCCAGTGCTTCACCACTGCTACTCCAATGAAGGATTAAAGTTTACAAATCACTCTCCTCACAACCAGCTATGAAGCAAGTTGTGCAAGGTTGTTATCTCCATATCTTTATAGATAAGGAAATGGAGGCTTTGACCAAACAGGTGCTCCATGGTTATAAGATGAATGTCAGAGTTGGCATGTATATGACATTTCCTCACCCCAAATCCAAGACTCTGTCCACTGCATCTCAGTGTTTCCCGAAACCCTTTGCTTCATCATGTTTTAAAGTTTCATTTAACTGCCACTAACTCAATCACAGGCACTTTAATTAAAACCAAAAACGATAATCTCATAGAAGGCCCTCCCTGACATGAAGAATTTCATGTGTTTTCTGAGAAGACTGAGGAAAGCAGAAACTTTTTTGGACCAATATTAAATCTTGAACTGACAGTTTTTGCACCCACAGGATAATGGAACTGGCTAGAAGAATGTTTTCTTTCTATCATCTGCCATTAATCTATTAGGAATGATTTTCTACTTCATCTTTGGCCAGAAAGACATCCAGCATTGGGCCAAAGAGCAGAGACTCACCCGCTTCTGAGGGGCCAGGGAAATGAACTGAAAATTAGTTCTACCGAAAACATCCTTAAGGATTTTTAAGGTCATCCTTGACTTCTCAACTCTCAGGCAATACACGCCAATGTGAGGCTTGTCTTTTTAATATCCACAACATCTCTTATGTGGGTCTGCTCTTCTCCACTCACACCCTAGTTCAGGCCCTTATCACCTCTTGCTTAATCTATTGGAATGACCTTTTGCATCTCCCTGCCTCATCTCTTCCCCACTCTCCACATACTCCACACAGCTGACAAAATGATTTTCCCAAAGACCAAAACTAATCATGTCTCTCCCCTCTAATCAACAAATTCCACCATCTCCCAATTACCTCTAGAATACACTACAAACTAGTATATTTGAAATTTAAAGCTCTTCACAGCATAGCCCCTTCCTACCTTTGTGGTCTTATATTTTATGCCTTTCCTCACATTCCACATTCTGGACCTGCTGCTTTGCCTTCTCATTATTCTGCACATATAACATTTTCATCTCTACTCTCCATGACTGCGCACTCACTCGCATCCATACCTGGAATATATTCCCTGCACACCTCTGCCTCTTGGAATCTTACATTTTCTTCAAGACTCAGCTCAAGTGCCATGAATATTTTACTGGTTCCCACCCCAGCTGCTACGGGACACTCTCCCAAAACATACCAATAAAATGTTCATTTTGTATTGAGAAAATTAAAATTATTTTGTGTCATTTAATAATCTATTCTGTAACTGACCCTCTTTTATATTACTGCCCCATTTTGTATAATTGCTCCAGCCACATTTCTCCATCCTTGAGTTAAGCTCAGGAATACAGTTTTCTCTCTGAGTCAATTTAAAGGTATAATTAAAAGGGAATGTTGTTATCCCTCTGACCATTACCTCCTGGAACACCTGCTTCTTGTCTATATCTCCCAACCAGCTTAACCTGGTGCCATCCCCAAATGTGCTTTCATCCTTGCCTGCAGTTAGAGATGATTGGATATCCTCCAATATGACATTGAGGCAAGTGGTACTGATCCCCTAGCAAAGATGACAAAAGGCAGATGAGTCCCATAAAACAATTAACATTCCATAATTGTCAGAGAGGGCCAAAGCACTTTTCTTTGTATAGCCAATCATAATCTTCCCCAACTAACCTGACCCCTCTTTTCCTGTGTTTCAATAAAAAAGATCTCTTCCTTCTCATTGGGGTCACTGGCCTTACTAAGGTTGCAGGCTGACCCACTTTGTTAACAGTTATGCACATCACTGTTAATAAATTGATTCTGCTCAAAGTCTGCATGTCAGTTTTCAGTTCAGTTGTTTCAGTCATGTCAGACTCTTTGTGACCATATTTGGAGCTTCTTTGGCAAAGATACTGGAGTGGATTGTCATTTCCTTCTCCAGATTACTTTACATATGAGGAAAAATGTGGCAAACAACACTAGGTGACTTGCCCAGGGTCCTGCAGCTACTAAGTGTCTGAAGCCAAATTTGCACTCAGGAAGATGAGTCTTCCTGATGTCAGGCCCAGTACTCTATCCACTGTGCTGCATAGCCTGCCTGTTCCTCAGTTGACCTTTATTGAATTTACTCTAAACAATACACATTCTGTATATAATCATGAGTACATGGCATCTCACTCATTAGGGTGTAAGTTCCATGAGGGCAGGCAGTGTTTCACTCCTGTCGTCATATCCTCAGCATGTGGTTTAGTGCCTCCCACAGAGCAGACACTTAATCCACGCTTGTTCATTGGTTTTAATCTTTTCTTCCCTGACCTGCTGGCTCCTTAGCTATGAGTCTTGGTTCTGGATCCAGCCCTATTCTTTAGAGATATCGTCTACCTAAGCAGAGGGTACTCTGATGATTCCGTACATGTTTTAACATAGCCAGATGTCCCAACGAGATGAACAAACATGTATCACCACATTACAAAATATTGTACAAGGGACCGTGGTGATCCTCTAGTGCAACACTTCCATGAAAAGGAATACCCCAGGAATTAGGTTGGCAGAGGAGCAGAAAACAATGTAAAGACGAGCTTTCTGCCCCACTCCCAAACAGATCTAGAAAACACATCAGACATAATATCGATGGGGAAATCCAAGAAAAACTCACAGTACATCATTTTTCCATCCCAGTTCAGCACAGGGTGACCAGGAGGTCTGTGGACACTGGAGGTGAAGTCAGGACCAGCACCTTGCTGGACAGTATGCCAGCACCCAGAACAAAGTGAAGAACTGGGGCAAGAAGAGGTCCTAGACCAATACAAGGTATCCCCAGACCTATACCAAAGCACCAAGATGCTGGGATAGGTGAAAAATGGCAGCTTTGTTGCTCACTACCTAATCTCCAGCAACAGATGCACAGTAGACCAGGAGAGGATGTGCCTCAACCCACCCCACCCCCAGTAGTCTCCAGCCCTAGGGGTATACTGAGAAGGAAGCAAGTTCAGAAGCAAGCAAATGCAGTGTGTCTCAGACACCAAGAGCCGAACAGGTTATGAGGTCCAGTCTCCAGCGTAGTCTGAAGAAGGCAGTTTAACCAGGCCATTCCAGACCAAAGGGAAACCTGCAGTTCTGTCTTCTGAACCAGCAGAGCTTCCCAGGTAGCTAACAGTAGCTGAGTTCCACACCAGTCTCCACTTTCTCAGACCCGAACCCAGGTGAGGAGTTTGCAGAGCTCAGAGCAGAGCGGTAGAAATCAGGCTTTGCCCTGAATCAGACCAATATGGAAGCACTGAAAGCTTGTTGGTCCCCAGCCTGAGCTCTCCGTTAGATTCCTAGAACAATACAACACATGACCCCCAAGAAAGCAGCAAGAGGACCAGCCAGACATTCCCTACGGAGACTATCCATAATATGAAGTCCGAAGTCAGAAGTAGGCTGGAAGAATGAGCCAACAAACAAAAAAGAATTCCACCATATAAAGTGTTTATGGTGACAAGAATGCTGAAGACACACATGCAGAGAATGACATCAAAACATCTATATGCAAATGTTCTGTGAAAAATACAGCTTGAATAGAGCCAATACCAGATTGCACTCTGTCTTGGGGAGGGGGAAGGAGAGAGGGGAGGACATTTAAAATTCAAAATCTTATGTAAGTGAATGTTGAAAACCAAAAATAAATTAATTGTTAAAAGAAGAGAAAAGAATAAAAATACAGTGTGGGCATAAATCCACCTAGAGCTCCTGAAAGAGATAAGTAAGAGTTTGTTTTATTTTTAAAGAGTTGAGGGCAGCTAGGTGACGCCATAGGGAAAACACTGGCCCTGGATTCAGGAGAACCTGAATTCAAATCCAGCCTCAGACAACTGACACTAGCTGTGTGACCCTGGGCAAGTCACTTAACCCCAAATGCCTCACAAAAAAAGTCTTAGAATCCAGACTTCTTTTATGAGGCAGCTAGGTGGCACAGTAGATAGAGCTCTGCCTTGGAGTTAGGAGGACCTGAGTTCAAATCTGGCCTCAGACACTTGAAACTGACTAGCTGTGTGACCCTAGGAGAGACACTTAAACCTGATTGCCTCATCAAAAAGCAAAAAAAAAAAAAGATTTGAAAATTCTTGCCAATGACATAAGTATGTTAGAGGGGAAAATGGGGAAGAAATGAAAGCCAGGAAAAAAGAACTGCAAAGGGAAGTAACAGCTTGACATAGGAGGTGCAAAACTTTACCCAAGCAAAAAATTCCCTGAAAATTAGAATGGAACAAATAGAAGCCAATGAATCCATAAGACAACAAGAAACATTAAAACCTTAAAGTGCTAAATAAATGCTGATTATCATCATCATTATTATTATTGCTTATTCCTGGAAATGTTGCTTCTGTAATGGAGCCCAAGGTTCTTCCTGCCTTTTGGGGTTCCCTTAAACACTGTTCACTCATGTGGAGTTTTGCAGTCCCTTTGATCTTATTCACATACAATATTAAGCCCTAAATATGACTCTCAAGATTCTTCCTAAAATGCACTAGCTGGGCAGCTGTTCCTGAGCTCTAACCATTAGAGACAGAAATGAATCAATGCATCTTGTGCTTCTTCCAGATTTATGATTAATGAAAATGCCCTCACATTTCAATATTTTAAAAGGAGGAATTCAGTTCTCATCAATACTCCTTAAATAGGCTGATATAATTTGTATTCACTTTCTAGTGATGTTGCTCTTATCTGCCTCTTCTACGTTTTTGAAACTGTGAAAAAATTGTAGGTGACCCATATAAGTAAAAAGAAAATATTGATAACTTTAGAGAGGGCACCTTCAGTTCAGTGGTAGGATTAGAAATCAGATTCAAAGGAGTGGAAAAGACAGTTGGAAAAGAAGAAAGAGATACAGTGAGTATAAATAACTTTCCTTGGGTGTTTTGCAAAGAAAGATACATAGAATGACAGCTTGGGGGGATGGTAACATAAAGTGAAGGGTGGGAGAGAGGGGAGGACTTTAAAAGGTGGCAAAGGAGCCAATAGAAATAATTTTTAAAAAGAGGTTTATGATTAGATAGTAGCAATGACTAATGGGGCAAAGTCCTGGAGGAAATAGTACAGAATGGATAAATGTCACATTGGGGGTTTATTGATCTTACCTCCCACTTAGCAGTAAATGATCTCTAAATGTGATCAGTAAGGTGTCACTCAAGGGAATAAAACACAACCCATTTACACAATTCACATTCTCCTATGGTGGTGGTGGTGGTTTTGGTGGTAGTTGAGGCACATTCAACTCTTTGTGTCCCATTTGGGGTTTTCTTGGCAGGTACTAGAGTGGTTTTCCATTTTCTTCTCCAGCTCATTTTACAGATGAGGAAACTGAAGCAGAGTTAAATGACTTGCTCAGGGTCACACAGCTAATGACTGAGCCTGCATTTGAACTCAAGTCATTTTGACTCCAGACCTTGTGCTCTATCTACTGTGCCACCTAACTGGCCAGAAATATAATGGATAATAGTAATAATAATTTTACATAAATTTGATATAGCAAAATGTCTTAAGATGCCTTCATCTGTGAAAAGCAGGATTCTAAGATTTTGCCACCCTGCTAATAATTCAAAGTGATTAAGTTAAAGCGATTACGTGTTGGAATCTTGCACTATACTGACAATGGGGCAAAACTTCAATACTTCTCCATCAACTCCCAGATCTAATCAGTCGCCAAGAATTGTTGACTCTGCCTCCATATCACTCACATCACACTGAGGTGCTATTCCATAGGATTGAGATTCTCATCTCTAATTTCAATACAACAAGCAAATTAAAATCTGTTTGATTCTCAGTAGACACACAACCACACGCACACACACACACACACACACACCAGTCCACTTGTAATCTTTTGAATATTCCACCAAATACTTGAAAATCATTGCCAATATTAATATCTCTCTACTAGTCCTCTCCATCTTTTTCTCAAAGGTATTACTTTTTAAAAGGGGGGGGCAGCTAGGTGGTACAGTAGATAGAGCACTGTCCCTGGAGTCAGGAGGACCTGAGTTCAAATCCAGCCTTAGATACTTGAAACTTACCAGCTGTGTGACCCTGGGTAAGTCATTTAATCCCAATTGCCTCAAGAAAAAAAAAAATCAAATGTACTGTTTTCCAATTCTTCATTCTTTGTTTTTGTGGCTTTTCTTTGAACCCACCTTACATTTTACTTCTTTCTCTTAATTTATAGGAACTCATAGCAGACATATATTCTAGAAAGAATGTAATAAATTGATCTTACCTAATGCAAGGGTCTAAAAGTTTAATTTAGGTTCATTAGGTCACTTCGAACTCTCAAGACCTCTTGAGGGCAGAAGTGACCTGTCATTGACAATCAGACTCATAAAGTAACTCAATCAGACATCAGACTCACAAGGATTCATAATCCATAAATACAAGATGCATCTTGAAAAACTTAGCTGAACAGGGAAGCAAGGGTATCACCATGTTGGGTCCACAAGATGGGTAAGAACAAGGCTGGAACAGAAACCGCGAGTCAAGGAATGAGATAAGGTAGGTGTTTTCAGTATAAAACCAACACACCCAGGTAGGACTGAGTGGGGATCAAGAGTCAACTTTGGCTTATGATAAAAGATCTGGGTAGAGCCAAACTCTGCCAAAGTGAATAAATAAGGGCAACAAACAAGACACACTACCTAGGTTCTGAAAGAAATGATCTATTTTTAAAAAGTGCAGTGGGTCTGGAGAAGAATGTAATGGCAGCTCTGTCTCTATTTAGAAAGGCCAGAACTGTGAGCTCCTCCAAGCAGTGGGCACAAGGCTGCCCACTGACCACTCCAGTTCCTTTCTATCTA